CGCCTTCGTCAAAGTTTTGTTCACACTCATACGTTACCATTCGTTACTGCAAGATGTCGTCTTACGTGATTGCCTCTTATATCGTGCAATTCACCTCGTATTTTTGAAGGACGGATTTGAGTTGCTCCCAACCATATTTGATTATCGGCTGATAGACAGTATGATGAAGGACACCGCGGTATGGATGCATTCGCAGAGCAGGTAAGCTATTAAAGAGGAGTTAAAGCTAGCACTTCATGGCCATTTCTATGTGCAGGCAACAGTTGGTATCTAGCTTTCACACTTTTTTACGTGAGATTGTGAAAGTGTGTATGCTTCGCGTACAGTTTGTTTCAAAGTCATCGACGTTCTTATATCTGTCGCGATCTTAATTCATGCAACCGGTTCGACCTTATCGCCCACAGTTCACTAATACGATTGCTTTCTAGCCTCTAACTAGGGCTCGTTTGCTCTGAACTGCTTATTGGAGTATCTTCTTTAGATGTGACATCATCATACTCTGCTTGGGAACAACTGGAGTACCGACAAGCATCATGCCTCATTTTAGTCATAGTTTTTTTCTGCCAAAGTGGTAGTCGTGGCCCTATGTTTGCTTTCAAAAACCCTATCGTGTTTGGGTTTCCTCGACGTTGTTGGGTTCATGGCGTATTGCTCATGTGATGAACACCAATCTTATAAACTTAAATTTGCTTCGTATAAATATATGTTTCAGAGGTTTCGTTGACCTTGTAAACCACATTCTCGTTGGAACATCTGGATCATTCCCGTCATACTTCTCACTCGCTGCAGCTGGTGCCGTAACTATGGGTCTTGGTTACTATCTCACGAAGAATAACAATGGAAGAATCACTCCTCTGGTGGACCCTTTGAATCAAACCGTCGAGCAGGAGGTAAACATACTTGTTTTCCTATGTGATAATAGGACTTTTTGTTAAGTTGAACGAAGCTCTACCAGAAGCTTTTTCGGTTACTGAAATTCAAGGCTTTCCTCCGTTTTTCGAGAAGTGTATCGAATCAATCTTGGATATAGCGAACTCTTCGATTTGGATCAACTAGTTAAAGTGTTGCTGCGCCATAACCAGTTGATCCGAATCGGTACTTAATAGCAAGATATAATGGATTAAGCCATGATGTGAGTACAGTTCTGCAACGCAAATATCTACGTATATCTACGCTGAAATTGAGCTTGTTGAGAAAAAAAGCGTAAGTGGGTTGAGAAGAGGATGAAAGGTAGAGAAAAGGTTTTAAGAGAATCATTTCAAAGGGGGTTAAAACATAATTGAGGTGGCATAGACAAGTTAATGAAATTAAGTTGGTATAACAGGCTATTTTTCTTTGTTCTTGCTTCTATAGGATGAATTGCATCAAGCAACTCAAGAGAATTGTCCACAATCTGGAGAAAATCCGTCGAGTCAGCATTTTGATAGTTTAGGAATCTTTCGACAAATGCATTCTGTTTAGTCGTTAACTAAGTTCCTAGTTCTTTTTTAATTCTGCCTAATTTATTAATTCTTCTTGGCATTATAGATGGAAGAATAGTTTTTCTTGATGAAGTAATGTTTTGTTTTCTGATCAAAGTAGTTTTTCTTAAATTTCCGATTCGCTGAACTGACAAAATGATCTTCCTTTTCTTCTCATCCGTTTTTTCTTCTCGAATCTATGTATTTTGCTTTATCAGAATTAATTTCCTTGAATTTACAGATCAGTAGCAACTAGTTGGCAAAAAAAAATGTGAATTTCGTCACATCTTCTTTATGTTATTTATGACCTAGTATAAATTGATCAACGGGCAGTTTTTCGTTGCCAGCAATGATTGGACAAATAAATTGCTGCTGCGTCAACAAGTTGAGCAGCAGCGAGTGATGGTGGCGCGCCGATTTTCTTTGCGACTTGGTGAGGATGCACCTCGCTTACGACCCTTTCCCGCATAGTAAAGATGGTTTTCCATAGCAGCATGGAATCATGCCATCCCTGAACTCAGTTCTCTTGTAAATCGATCTGAAATTGTGTCGAGAATGCTGTAACTTTGAAGAGGATTGCTCTGAGATAAAGGCTGGACTGTATCTGTATTTGATGGCAGTGGACGTCTGCTTCGCCGAATCAAATCTCTTTTTAAAGGAAGCGATCGTGCCATTCATACAGGTGGCACGAAAGGGTGAACTGCTGCCGCTCATTCACCATATCTCATTCCAAGCCTGACTGTCGAAGCGATCATTTTCCTTCGGTGAAGCAGAAGGTTCCGGTAGTGTGTTCTATTGCACATGTTCGGTCTATGATAACTTCCAACGACGACGTCAAATACCGATCGACTGTGGTAGTGATCTATCAGCTATAGCGGGCTCGGGAGCAACATGCTTTCGTTGCTTTCGCAGCTGAGAGGCATAATTTTCTAAAACCTTTCGGACACCCCAATATATATTTATTTATATGTATGTATGTTGGCACATACATACATATACATATAAATAAATATGACCGGCCAAAAATATACGGATAGCTAGCACAATCTTACTCTTAGAGATATATGGAAGCTTTGACAGAATTGACGATAGTTGATAACAAAACAACGATACAGGTTTTTTGAAGACCTTCTAAGATAAGGTCACTGGATTGGTTACATTTTTTTATCATTATCAATGTAGTCTCTCAGACCTAATGTTTGTTTAACTGAAAAAGGGTTGACTTGCTCTAGATGATCGGGTGCAAGCTTGCTATGATCGTCTGAATATCTCAGAATCTTTTACTGCCCTAAAAAGTGCTGTCTCGAACGGATTTCCGTAAGGGTTTGCGAAGACTTGAGACACGGTTTTTGCTATGAATATGTCAAAAAGGTGGGACTGATTAAACTGATTCTGTGTTTTTAAGGACGGTTCGCGAGTAACGGCTTATCTCAAGGATGGGAAGTTACAGTCATATGTGTACGAGGATGTTCGCACGTTATACGAAGGAGTTAGGCGAGGAGCACGTGTCTCCAACAATGGTCCAATGCTTGGTCGCCGAGTAAAACATGCAGATGGAACAGAACCGTATGAGTGGTTCACTTATAATGAGGTGAGGTCCAATCTTAGGTATTGTAGCTCTGTTGGAATCTATGTATTTGTTGCGTAATAATTTCTTCTCTACTGGTGAGCGATAGGGAAACTCAATGTTATTTTGCTTTGTCTCTCACTGAACTGAAATGATATGAAAGGAGTCGATCTGCTGTTCCTTCAGTGGTTCTCATGCCTTACTTGTCCTTAAGTAGTAGCGAATCATTATTTACCAAAGCTACTCCACTATAAACTCGCTGAGTGTACGAATAAGCATAGCTGGGAGGGTTGTAGCATATGTATGCGCATGTGTACCTTATCATCTGTTGCCCCTCAATCACCGATTTGTTCGAGCGCTGCGAGTAACGTCTTCATGTGCCCCTATGCGATTCATTATGGTCCCAAGGGCATCAGCAGCATGACTAAAAACAGTGATTTGCTCGAGGGAGACAAATCACTGCTTTCAGTCATAGTCATCGTGAAAATTTACCGGCTTTGCGACCCTCCTGAAGTTCACTTGACGTCCCGAGGGCTCCGGTCAGTTGGCGTTTTTTCACTAATCTACCTAGAATTAGATGACGTGCCCCGTTAATCTGATCTTCTATTTTATTCGTGCGCCGCAGCGTCTCTTAACTCCCTTCGTTGCAGAACCTTCAAATTAGCAATTAGCATCTGCTTTTGAATGTATTGAAGAATATTTCGAATAAAGTTCCTTAAACGTACGTTGAATGGTGCGGCCTGTGCAAAGTCCATGTCTCTGGGTCATACGTAAGGATGGAGAACAGAATCGTAAAGTTGGGCTGTAATAAGGAAGATCACGCGTTCTTCAAAGCTCCTTTAAATCTTTGAATGTTTGCTGAATGTCGTACTATCCTTTTTGCTCAGCTCGAAATCGGGAGAATAATACGTAACTAGATCGTTAACCATATTATTCTTCCGATTAATGTGTACTGAACTTGAGCATTCATCTGTATTTCCCTTTTGAGGTAAAGGGAGCAACAGAACCGGTTCGTTTTACTGCGAACAACATCTCAGTAAAGTTCAATGCAAACCGTCGCAAGACAGATTGTAGACTGTGGGGATTGTAAAACTGGCCTGCTTTTATACATACATCAACCACTACGGATAGGGGTTGAAGAGTTAGGGAGAGACCATATCTTTGCTCTCCCGATGTTGTTTGCGACCGATTTTATTCGAACATCTCCATCCGGCACTTTGGAGTCGTTACGAATGGCTGTTATTCATGGCTAAAGGAAAGCCATGAGATTATTACGACAATTATTTGATCAGTCATCATTTTTCGACCACGAGTATAGTCAGTGCTGTTCGAAGAAGTCGTTCAGCTACAGAAGTTTCGTTGAACAAATAGATTTGTAGAAAAGCTAGAGTTATACCGTCAGTGAATGATCGTTTTTCTCGAATTAACAGAATGATTGTATATAGTAAGCATCAGCGAATGTAAAATATTAGTTGTATCGCATCCTGTATGCCGACTTCCCACTTTTTCGTGCCGAAGTTGTAGTAACCTCATGAATCCGGGCGTCTTCCTTTAGAAGGTGCATTCCATTAATAGGCTTCGTATATTTCGGAATGTAAACTTCTGCTGTTCTATGAAGGTGGTCAAGATAAATCAAAATGACATTTCAGATCCTTGATCGGTCCAATGACGTTTCTATCGCGTTCAGGGAGCTGGGCATACCTGTCGGAAATGATGTACATATCGGGATTTACTCTAAAAATCGACCGGAGGTGAGATATGAGATTTTTGCGAGATTATGAACCTATTTAGCTTTCAAGAAGAAAAAATTAAAAATGTTGTTCCATTCGCTGTGAGTTATCCAAGCTTGAATCTATGTGTACTGAAAATATTTCTTGGTATCCAAAGTTGAGGGCAAAACTTCTCTGATATCCATATTCACGAAAGCTTGTCAGAATAACCTGGTACGATCACCATGTACTCCACCATTTTTGAATCGCGATGATTCGCGTTTAAACTAACTAGGTTACTAGCTTTGAGAATCAACTATCCTTGATTCATAATGCTGGTAAGTAGGTAATGTAGTACTCCATGGAGTCCTCATCTCTGAAGTTGTTCTTGTCGAAATCAATCCATAATTGAGTTTAAACACCTGCTATGGCTGATTGTGGCTTAACAAACTTTTTCCTCACTGCTTTTCTCGAAAAGCAGTGTTCCATAATATCTTGAGAAGGTTTTTTGTGGTAGGGTGATCATAATTTAGTAAGAGGGTTTTTCTGCGTTAGTTATGATGTCCGTGATACTATTTTATCCCTTCATGGCAACCCCCCCCCCCTTTTTTTTCCTTCACGAGCAAGGTTTTAAGGAAAAGTTTCTGTCGAGAAATTTCGAGTTTCATTTATGCTTATTGTCGAGCGGAATATTATTCGACAAGGAAATCAAGCGCTCACCCAGAATTAGTCCCACTCATATACGTGTATACTTCGTTTAGTTAACTTTTTATTAGCTACGTGCAACTTTGACTCAAGCATAGTAGCTTATGCAGTGCAATGAAAGAGGTCCAACTAAATCAAAACACTTAAGAATATAATGCTTCCAGTGGATCATCACGGAGTTGGCGTCCTATAATTTTGGTAATGTCATCGTCCCCATTTACGAGACTCTCGGATTCGATGCCTGCGTATTTATTCTCAACCAAACTGAAATGAAGTTGGTAGTATGTGATGCTGTTTCAAAAGCCATTGGTAGGTAATTGCTTTAATCACACTGATCTACTTTCTTTTTTTCTTACGTCTGGCACTGGGACGCCATATTCCTCTTCTTTTCAGGTCTTATAAAGCAGCGTGCTAAGTGTCCTCATTTGAAGACAGTAGTTGTGATGGAACCACTGACGGAGGAATTACGCACGATCGCTTCCGAGAATGGAATCCATGTTCTTACGTTTGATGAGTTAGAGAAAGTTGGACGTGAAGCCAAGAATAGGCCAGCTCACCAACCGCCTAAGGTTTTGCATGTTTTTTTTTTCTGTTTTCAGATTTATCGCACTGATTCTGTTCCTTTGATAGCCGTTTACTGCTTTTTTTTAGCCGGAAGACTTAGCGACAATCTGCTACACTTCTGGTACAACCGGTACACCAAAAGGAGTTATGTTGACACATGCAAATGTCGTAGCTGATGGAGTCAGTATGGAGTTTTTCAAATACACAGGTTTCAATGTCACGGTAAGTGTCACTGAGGCTAACTTACTCTATAGCTAGAAAAATAACTGAGATGCCTGCAATGGCGCTACTCGATATTATTCTGTCTTCAATTTGACCACTGACGTGTATCCGGTGGTGTTTCGTAGTGACCAGCAGCAAAGATGCATTAATGTAAGAGCTTGATCAAAAGCGCAAGGGTCTTCCGAAGGAACATGAAGCCCGACAGCTGATGAAGTAAGGCCATGACGGAACAATAAATTTATCAGCGCTTAGCATAGAAGCGGCTGAACATGCCATAAGCCCCGTCACACGCTTCATTTCATAAACTTAAGTAGCGAGGGAAGCCAACAGTAGAATGAAAGAGACATGACACGACAGAGTCCGCCAGACTATAATGGGATACAATACTTCATTGCCTTTTATTTTATATTTACTAAATTTGATTTATACACTGCTCAACAAAAACCTGAGCCGGCGTTTTCAAAAGCTTTGTGAGGTCGTACAGACAGGCACTATAGTAGACAAGAGCGTTTTTTAGTAACATGTTTGGGCGGAGGTGATTAGTGGCATGTGACACACTTTGCACATGCATGGTCAAGGGTTCGAATCCGTTTGATGTCCGCCCAGGTCGATCAAATCTCCATCCCTCCGGTTAATTGATACCGCTACCTTACGCATTTACTACGATTCTAAATAGAATCGAATGCATAGACGCAACCCTCAGGCGGGATTGGCTTACGCCCGAAAACGTTAGTCCTCAAGACTTTTAATATTATATAGTAATGGTATGATTTTCTGATGGCGTTGTGTTGCTCAATTTCGCAATAAACGAAAGGATATCTTTTCCCGTTAGGTATTTTATATCGAGCTCTTTGAGACTGTTTAAGTTTGACAATGAATCAATTGAAACTTGCTTGCTGCCTACGATATTTGTAACTTTCTAACTCTGAGTTTTCACAGCTGCCTCATGCTTGCTGGTATCTTCAAAAATCTCGAAATGAGAGTTTATTTTCGCTGCTTATTTGAGGCTCATATTCTGATAACTTTCAGGATGTGATGATCAGTTTTCTTCCTTTGGCCCACATGTTGGAGCGAGTCATTGAGAGCGTGTGCTTTGCGAAAGGTGCCAGAGTAGGCTTTTACAGGTAATGGAATTTGGATGGAAATCTCTCTTGCTTCATCTCTTCATCAATCTTTTCAGGGGTGATATACGGCTATTAGCAGATGACATCAAAGAGCTGCGTCCAACTGTTGTTCCAGTCGTTCCACGTGTTCTTAATAGACTTTATGATAAGGTAAGACAACATTTTGGTATACAGAAAACTTTGCGTCCAACACGTTTACGACGTTTTCCAGCTTTATGGTTTTACACTGCGAATTCCTACCCTTGAATTATTCTTGCATTTAATACCGTATTTTTTTTTGAAGGTTATGACGGAAGTAAACAAGTCGTACTTCAAGAAGATGCTCTTCAATGCAGCTATCAAGTATAAAACTCGCGAAATGCACAAGTGAGCACCATAACCATCCTTTTCCATTTGTTCCGCTTATGACTTTATTTTCAGCTTCATAGTTCGTAACAATGGTTTCTTCGATAACGTCGTTTTCAAGCGAGTGCGTGAAGGAATGGGAGGTGATCGTTTGCTATAAACTTAAATATTACTTTTCTTCACCTGTTCTGTATGTAACAGTGGCCACGATGTAAGAGTGGACTCACGTGCTTAACATCATTCTAGGTCGTGTCCGACTGATGGTTACGGGCTCTGCGCCTTTGTCCGAAAATGTACTCACATTTGTGCGTGCAGCCATGGGATGTGTTGTAGTTGAGGGTTATGGTCAGACGGAATGTGTTGCTGCATGTACTGTGAGTTCAATGTTATATTCAGAATTAGTCATGGAAAATACAAAAGGTTACGATGTCTTCTGTATACTGGAGAATTTCGGGATCGACAGACGCTCGCATATTCTGGACGCATCTAATGCAGAGTAGTACATATGCATGATTATATCGTCGTCCACCTTAAACATATACGCGTGCAACAATAACTAGTCTTGCGTTAGCGGTTGGTCCAGGTAGAGAATGTCGCACAGTTGACGACCCGTGGCCTTTCCTTGCCATATGATGTATAATGGACTGTCGTAGTAGAGGTTGGCTTGAAAGCAGGGTATGCTGGGATAACTAACAAACTGGATAACATGCCTTTTCTTGCAAAGAGTGGGAGTAAAGAGAAATCTAGAACTCTTTGATTGTTGGGAGCAAGTGTTGTTTGAGTTTCAAGAATTCATTGGTGAACAAGCAAACCTTCCACACCTTCAACATTCTATGTTCATTTATGTATACTTCATGAAAGAGTAATTTTATTTAGAGATGACGCTGTTCTTTCTTCCCGCTGAATAACTTGAACCGCTATTCTGTAACTTTTTCTTACAGGTATCAATGGAAGGTGACTCGAACGCTGGGCATGTTGGTATGACTATTCCGTCAGCATCTATCAAGCTCGTTGATGTACCAGAGCTAAATTACCATGCAAAGGATGGAGCTGGCGAGGTAAGATCCAAATTTTCTGTTTCAGAAAATGTTGGCTACTAGAATTTTGGTTGAGTGCGAAGCATAGAAAATTTTTAATCTGAAAAAATCCGCTCGTGACTGTTAGTCGAGGACCGCAATGCACACCTCTCGCTATTTCGACTTGATTGAAGCGTCTGTGATTTATAACTTTGAAACTAATACTCTCTTCGCTGTTGGCTGCTCATACAGTTTGCATGTCCTACTTGACTCAGCGAAAGTAATGTTTTTTCCTTTAGTGATGTTTCGCTTTTCTTCCACCACTCGGGTCAGCTAAACATCGTTTCGCTGTCCCGGAGCTTCCAGAGTCCTCAGTCTATCAGAAGTTCTCAATGATTTCTTTTTATAGATATGCGTAAAAGGACCTATAGTGTTCCGTGGCTACTATAAGAATGAGGAACAAACAAGGGAAGTGCTTGATGAGGATGGTTGGCTGCACACAGGCGATATCGGTAGATGGACAAAAGAGGGTACACTGAAGATTGTAGATCGCAAGAAGCACATCTTCAAGCTGGCACAGGTTCGAGTTTTAATTAACTTTAATAAGTAATGCCTGAAGGCTTCTATGGATTTTAAATCCCTTTGTTCAGGGTGAATATGTAGCCCCGGAGAAAATTGAAAACATCTACGTGCGATCTCGATTCGTTGCTCAATCATTCGTTTATGGAGAATCTTTGAAAACATGCCTAATTGCTATTGTTGTTCCCGATCCAGAGGTAAGCTCTTGATTTATCGTGTTTACGGCATGAGTCAGTGCTTCGTACTCTACCTCTCATACGTGCTGTAGATGGCAAAAAAATAGAAACAGCTGATGGGAACGGCGGGCTTCGTGATGTTGCTGAATTAACGTCAGGACAAGATGATGAAAAATTTTTGCAAGTAAACATATGAAAGCAAGCCCATGTGGCGGTCATGAGTCGTTGTCCAAACCGGGACGCCTCTGTTTTAGTCAATTTTTTTGAAAGAAGTTTTTTGGATTGCAGCGGTCGAAAGCCTGTAAATTTTCTAAGCGAATGTCCTGGAAGTGCAATTCTCACTGGAGGCATGCGATCATGAATTCAAACGTTCTTCCAAAAGTCGAATCTGGCAAAATTTCGAGGACCTTACATAACAACTTACACTTTTTGCTACTCTTTGCCCTCTGCGAAACGTTTTCCTTATAATAAGAAAGCTGTTTCAGGAATTCGTTCCAGCTTGTAAGAAAGAATTGAATTTGAACGGAACGCTCGAGGAGTTGTGTAACAATAAGGATGCCGTAAAAATGGTGTTGGATGACATGATTTCAGTTGGAAAGGAAGCCGGATTGTTTTCATTTGAGCAGGTATGCGCCGTTGACTTTGGTCATCATTTGGAAGTCATCGTGAATAGATTTTGATTACTTTTTACAGGTGAAAGCTATAAAGCTATACCCTCACATGTTTACTGTTGAAAACGATCTCCTCACACCGACCCTGAAAAGCAAAAGGCCAAAGCTGAAGTCGCATTTTGCGGCCGATCTGGCAGCGATGTACTCTACTCTCAACTGATCACGTGACCGTTTGATTTTTGGGTTCTTAGTACTATTGTTGTCTTTCTTGAATTTCATACCACTCCATGCGCTATAGTTTATTCTTAATTAATTACTTGGTACTCCTCCTCGTTGGGTTATTTGGAAGGCTCTTCCTGAGTAGCATTTTCGTGGACTCAGCGTCCACTGCTCTGATTTACCGCCGACGATCATGCTGCTTGCCACTCTTTCTGATACGCTGTGTTCTTGTCTTACGGGTGAATGACCAGCGTCCTCCCAACAATGTTATGCTATCGAGAATAGTTCAATACATTAGTTATGTCTTAATGTTATTTAAGAAATCACTTATTTCTTCATACCTCATTATCGGTCGTTTTATTTCTCTTAGTCATTCCAGATGAAAGGTGGAAGCGGTCGGTTACCTTGCATTTTAAATACTTGAGCCTTCAGTAGTTCTTTACTTCGCCCGCATTCGCTGGTTACCTTCATACTTCGCGCAAGCGGACGGGTGAGAAGCAAAGGACGTTCTTGTCTGTGTGTTGGCTCCTTGCGTGACTAAATGAATATATCGACTAGTGCCAGGATTCAACGCTTTCAAGACCCTCGAACATGCCGAATCTGCTATCCTATTCTACAAAAATTTATAAGTAATCAATGTAAACTGTAATCAGATGATATAAGAGAGAGAGAAAGAGCAGAATGTTGTGCTCGAGCACATTGTGGGCCTGAAATCTTAGCATGTCTCGTCGATACTGCGCCCTTGACGCGCGAAGCATTAAGACAGCTACGGGCTCTGTGTAGTGCATTTATAGTAGTTTCATACCTGTGCATGGAACCCGGTTAGTGCGAAGCTTCCATTGACTGCTGGTTTCACAACCATTACCTCTGTCACATTCAGCAGTCGGTTACTGAGGCCGATCGCTTCCTTGTCGGTGATAGTCCATACTCATTCGGTGTACATGATGAGCCTTTTACTATCGTTGTCCGTGCCCTATCTAACTTATGATACTTTTCCTCTTCACATCTCTGCTCGTCCAGTCATTTACTTTCAAACGTTTCCGGTTTTTGTTTCGCTAAGTAATAGGTTACAGAGTTTCAAGTATTTGTCACCCTCAACCATCTACATTTTGATTTTACGTATGTTCATTCCTTGCATTTGTTTACCATACCTACTAGCTTAACGAATGAGTTTAATGCCGATTTCATTACGGCATTTTCACTGTGATTAAGTGCTATTATTGTTATTAAGCGCTATTCAATTGCAGAGGAATATTAAATAAAGTCAGTAATAATAATGAGCAGTAAACAGCTATGATATTGCGAAAGGGAAGGTCACGTAGCTTAATCCGAATTAGTTGAAATCCTTTATTGGGCTGAATGCCTTTTATCACCGTGCAGCTATTCAAGCCATTCACATTTGCTACGTCATGGTACTACCGCCAAGCTTCCGAATCGGAATGGGATCGTTTATTCTACATAATTTAATGGTACTCAATTACTATGTACTTCATTGTCATACGAGAATTTTTGCACCCACAGCCATACCTAAAAATATTTCAAGTTAGGGCATTGTTCCTGGTGGGCTGACACATTATTGGATTCAACAGCAAGGCAGTAATACAGTGAGGAGCGAACGTCTTTCGATTACAAAAATTGGAATGAAACGCTATTTACGGGAAGACGGTGGAAAACAGCAGGGCAGCTCTATTCGTGATGCTTAGGGTTATGGGTGTGCATCTACCATTTGATACAGTCGTTCATGGTGGGCATCAGATGAGATCGACCGATCTCGACCAGACGGAATCTTTGAGGCTGAAGACTTTATACGAAAAAAACTTGAACTAGCCTTGTGCAGTTCGTTCGGACATCATAGTCCCAAATAGCAGTGTTGATGCAACGACTTCCCAAAATGCCAGACTTGAAGGCACAAGTAGGGACGTGGAACTACTTTTTCACTTGAATGATCGGGAAGGTCAGACGATTTCTCAATTATAAAGTATTAAAGTGAAAGTGGCGGAAGAGCACATCCACCTGACAGAGGAGTTCCAGGTCAGGGATTACACCTCACCTCAAAAACTCCACTTGTACCGTATATGATCTCGTTATTTGTACAGAAAAACCGTTCAGTGTTTGATATAATGAGCTTTTCCTTCTTCTACTGCCCTGTGGTGATGATGCCATGCTTTATCTGAGAGGGTTATAAAGCGAAATAGGAACAGGAGCTTTTACGTGTTATAGGAAGTATGTACAACAATTGCTAACCCTCCCCAGTTCCTCAATATAACGCCTAACTCTCACGCTGTACTGAGTTGGCTTGAAGCCTGGGACCTTCGTTCTGGAAGTTCGAGCTGAGAACGTGGTCTGGTACTGATTCCTGTTGATCACGACAGAAAGTGGTTTTTGCGAGGTTTAGTGGGAGAAGTATAGGCAAGGCGCATCCATCGAGAAATTAGGCAAATGTTTCGTATTCGGCAATTCAACACTTCGTCAGCATTCCTTACATTAGGTAGGCAGGTGCACACGATTTCAGATCAAATGCTGGCTAAATACGTAAGATTGGCCACAAGAAAAGGGGAGGAAAAACCGTGAGAACCAAATGTTGAGCAGCTTTCAAGATCAGTAACCAGTGACCGACATTTATGAGATCGGTATTCCAGTATATGGCCTTTTTCGGAGCACGTTAAGGAACTTCACAATCTTTGGATTGTTCTGCACTTTATGTTTCTTACGTTATAAAAAGGATGACAATGCAAGATGATAGCCATCAGAGAAGCTATTTTTTGTGGCCAGAGCTTCCCTATAAAACAAAATCACCAACTGCCCTTCGTAGACTTCTTTTGGTTCCGTCACTGTGCGCTGAAATGATTGCGTGATCCATCAGAATGGAACAGCGTTCTGATTGCCGCCCTTCTCGGCGCCCCTTTCACTGCGCAGAATCCTCGCCGAGTTCTGTGTTAAGTATCCACCGCTGCCAACTGGTTCACGTGGGGAAGCATGATGGAAATGAGCCAAGATCGGAGGATTTGGAGCAAGTGTCAAGTAGTACCACAACAGAGAAGGCCCCAAACGAAATGGCGTGGATTTCTTCACCAGAAATTGGTGTATGGTTAGTTGTTTTCTTCATATAATTTTAGTGAATTTACTACGATAAGCCAATCTAGTACAGTTCACAACAGTACAAATTCAGTTTGGTGTTTATATCCAATAAGGCGATGGTAGAAATGACTAATTTTTTAGCCTGTAATGGTAGAATTCTGGTCAGTACGCGCTCAGTAGTAAAAAGCCGTGGTCCATCCCGATGGTTATTCGCAGGCACGATAAACATTCAGCCAAATATCTGGACGGTTCATAATTGAATGTTTGGTTCCATCGCACTCTGGTTAGAGAATTAGTTCGGTTTGTTGGGACCCAAATTAGGCACGGCAAGCGCCCTGCGTCACACTTGCTTATTTTCTAGTTTCAGACCTTCAAACAGAAGGAGAACCCGATGAAGCGTTCCAACGACAGTGGGGCCATGTCGATTACCAAGCAATGACACGGCACGAGCGGCTAGCTGTCTCAAGCTTGGAGGAACAGTCCTACAGGATAATTCGACTGTTTCAAATGAACCATGAAAAGATAATACATATCTTCTTCTTCACTAGGCAGGATATTTCAAACCAGGCGGCTACGCACGCTCTCGCGCGCGCTAGGGGCACTAACCATGAGAGACGGAGCGGCATGAGCTGATTTTCATTATAGACCTTTATCGGATTTGTGAGTTTCCGCTCAAACATCGCCTCCTGTGAACGGAGTCTGGTCCTGCCACCCACCATGAGTGTTCCCATCCTGTCGCCTGTACTCCTACCAAGTTTGAACTTTCTAGTTCCGTGGGGACAGGAGTTATGAATTTTCGCACAAACCCCGCCCCCTGTGGGCGGAGTCTGGTTTTACCACCCACCATGAGTTTCCCCAACACGGTGTCTGTACTCCTACCGAGTTTGAACTTTCTAGGTCCATTGGGACAGAATTACGAATTTTCACCCGAACCCCGCCCCTTGTGGGCGGAGTCCGGTTTTGCCACACACCGTAAGTTTTCCCATCACGGTGTCTGTACCCCTATCAAGTTTTAACTTTCTAGGTCCATGGGGACAGGAGTTATGGATTTTCG